CGGCCGCCGGGCGTCCCCCTCACGATGACATCTGGAGCCGCTTTGTGATCGGCACAGCGGGGCTCGGGGCAGAGGAGCTTCGTAGCTTGGAGGTAGAGCAGAGCCGGCACAGAGACCTCCTCCTTCTGCCAGAGCTGCGGGATTCCTACGAGAACCTGACTGCTAAAGTCCTGGCCACGTACGTCTGGCTGGATCTGCACCTGGACTTCCAGTTTGCCCTGAAGGCTGATGACGATACCTTTGTACGCTTGGATGTGCTCGTGGAAGAGCTGAGAGCCAAGGAGCCACGTCGCCTCTACTGGGGCTTCTTTTCTGGCCGCGGCCGAGTGAAATCTGGCGGCAAATGGAAAGAGAGCGCCTGGGTGCTCTGTGACTACTATCTACCATATGCTCTGGGTGGTGGTTATGTGATTTCTGCAGATCTGGTGCACTATTTGCGTCTTAGCAGAGACTACCTGAACATGTGGCAGAGTGAAGATGTGTCCCTGGGGGTGTGGTTGGCTCCCATCGATGTCAAGAGAGTGCATGATCCTCGTTTTGACACTGAATATAAGTCCCGAGGTTGCAACAATAAGTACATAGTAACGCATAAGCAAAGCATCGAGGACATGCTGGAAAAGCACCAGACCCTGGCTAAAGAAGGAAAGCTCTGTAAAGAGGAGGTTAAGCTCAGGCTTTCCTACATGTACGATTGGGGAGTGCCTCCTTCACAGTGTTGCCAAAGGAAGGATGGCATCCCGTGAAAGTCTGAGGAGGGAAGAGGCAGGATGTTGGTGGACTCCCTGAGCTTGGTTGCTGTTACCTGGGGAGAATCCCAGTAACCAGGGCTTAAAAATTACTCAAAAGATTTTGCACGATTCATTATGTCACAATCAATGAAACCCTGAAACTGCTAAGAGCTACTGATGTGGCATGATGTAGAGATGTTTAAAAAGAAATAGATGACAAAAAGCCTGGAAAGGCTCATACAGCAGGATTGAAGGCAAATAATAGGTTGCAAAATATGGATAGTATGGAAAATTTGGGGGAGATGACTTGGATTGAAAGCTGCTGGAAGATTTTTAACAGACCCTAAGATTTATTTGCTAAAGATCATGAGAGGCCTTTATGCTATCTCTAAGATTGTGAAACTAGCACCTGCTGTGTATTTCTTGGCAAGGAGCAAGTGTCAGTTTGGCAAGATTTGAAGAGTCTAATGGGGCTGCAAATCAGTTGCTATTGCCAGTGGGAACAGGTGGCTGGTTATTGACACCAGCAGTCAAGTGAAGGGAACAATTTTACCTAGGATATTCCTGTTACGGGAGGGAGAGAGAGTCTATTCTTTGGCAAGTGCTCTGATTTACAAGAATGGAATTATTAGACCTTCTGTGTAACTTGTCTCTAAGCTTTTTGTTGTTTTAAAGACATCATGTACATAAATTATCTGGCAGCTATGGAGTAAGTCTATATTTAGAAAGGTGGATGAGTTATGGTATTTGACAAATAAAGACTATATTATCTTATTTTGGGGGCAAATAGTTATGCTACAAAGCTAGCCTTCAGCTGTTAGGCATAGGTGTTGTTCTTAGCTTATCCTCCAAGCACACTGTGTATGAAGAAACATTTCCCCTCCCAACAGTAAGTAAGCTCACTGACTGCTACCAAGGTCAGATGTTGTGAGCTTCAGATTTATGTTGTTCTGGATTACTTCTGTAAAATGTAAATTAGCAAGGTTAGGTCAGTGGAAGCTATTCAGAGTTCAAACAAGACTGCCCTAATGTGAGTACCTCAGCTAAGAAAGTAAACTCTGTGTGTGTTCAAGAGAAATAGGTTCCCCCAAGCCCCCATATTCCTGTTTGAGGAGAACCTTGTCTCTTTTCAGGAGCTACATTGCAATCTAAGGAGACTAATCCCCCAACGGTCTCACCCAGATGCATGAAGCTAGGTTGTGTGGATTCCCTCCTTCTCTCCAATAACACCTTATAGCAGAACTAAAAGTTCTAACTATAGTTCTAAACTATACAGGAGGTCTAAGTTAATTGCTCAAGTGATAATGTCAGTAAGTGGGATTATGTGGCTATACTACAAATAATTCTAGTGCTGACAGAGCTTGTCAGCATCAGATGCAGTATTGAACAGTAAATGCAGACAGGACATTCTTGGCTGTGGAACAGATCACTTAGACAATTTCACCACGTTACCTACCATCAGACCTTTAGGTAAGCCTGTAATTCAAGAATTTTTGAGTGGCAGGTACTCTTAATACACAGAAATATTTTTTTCTAGTACTAGTACAGAGCTACTGACTTCCAGTAACCTTTGTCAGCTACAGATCTTTCAGTATAAGCAGAATTTTTACTTTTATGCCTGAAGGGCATTCATAATTATCAGTTTTACTGTTTCTTGCACACTGCACTTTCATATAATTTCATTTCCTCCTTTCCCTAATTCAGTGTCTGTTCCCACCTGCAGGAAGAGACAAATTGCAAAGAAGAGAAGAGGGAAAAAAAAAAAAAAAAAAGGTGCAAATGTCTCTGGTTTTGCTTCTTAAGTTAGCAAGTTAG